CCCTCCCCCCATTTGTGACATGGCGTTATACGAATTAGGTTGAACACATCAAGATGAAACCTGTTTTCATGATTTATAAACCTCAATGATGTAATTTAATCATAACAATGTACTAGCTTTTCATCTAAGAACTATCCGGAAAAATATTTAATATTTGTAAAATAGACCCCTGCTGAAATCGTTCATAAATGAAGTTCTGTAACTTTATATGGTGCTCAAAAATTCATAAATGGTCAATGCTATAATCCTAACTAAGAAAAGCAAATTAAAAACATTAGGCTGTAACAATAAGCTTTAAAAAAATTATCAAATGTTTGATGAGTTATACCCCCCACTGTGAACATGGATTCCATTTTGATCTAATTTTTCAGCTGAAATTTTACATTATGCTCTTGATATATAATAATTCATGCTTTTTGTACTTATTTATTATCTATTCACAAGAAATCTTTTAAAACGATTATTTCTTTAAAAAATGGACCCCTGCTTAAATCTCAAATAAATGATAAACGGTAATGTTGTGTGATCCTCAACAAGCAATACCATATTCAGTGATATTAAATCTATCAATATAATCTGTAAAAATGATTGGAACTTGAACAGGAGGTAATTTTCAAATATTTGTCAATTCCTTTATCACTATAAAGCATAGTTCAGCATTTCAAGTCATGAGGAATGTACATGCACAGTTCATTTGATAAAGGGGAAGGGGTGGCGTAAATAATTTCTGACTGCCAAGTACTTCTCAAGAAACCCCATTATACCAAACCCTTCACCCACGCAAACACGAACTCAGTCCATGTTGGGTAGGGAAATAGAAACGGATTAGGCCCACGGGGGGGGGGGGGGGGGGGGTAAAACCGCACCCCCTTGAAGTCAGGTTTCTGGCGGGGCTGACCCCCTCCCCCCGGCAAAAGCAGGTTATGAATAATGTAGCCAGTCCATGTTACTTTCTCGGAGATATCTTTGAAGAATTCTTAACTTATCAAGACAGATAACAATATAAAATGTAGATGGCAAAATAATCTGATCTGATTTATCTTGCAATTTGTCTGCCTTTAACAGTCTAATTTCATACATGTAGTTATCCAATAAAAATCACCTTGGCAAAAGCAGGCCGCTACTTATACTTTAAAGTGTTTAGTCGGTCCATGATAGTGTCTGGGAGTTAATTGTCTCTGAAGAATTCTCAACATATCAAGATAAGAGCTGATAATATAAAATGTAGATGGCAAAATAAAACGGCATGCACCTCTAAACATATGCTCATTAATTAATATGGTTACAAGCAACAGAAGGATAATCTTTAAACGATTGCAACGCATTATCTATTTTAGCTGAAATCAAGTTATTTCTAACTCATGCGACAAAACGGAAAATGGTTTAGAAAATAAATCAATAAGATCAACGTTAAACAATGTTGAAAACAAAACAGATAGTAAAAAATCTTATTCTAATTTAATTCCTAAATCAAGTCTCAACCCTCAAGACACTGGTGACATTTGACCGCATTTGAAAGACTTTATCTAATTTAAACAATCAAATCAAATCAAATCAAATCAAAAGTAAAACATGCAAACAGGTAAAACTGCTTATTTGAGAATATCCGAGGAAATGTGTGTCCGGGATGTGTGACGCTGATTTCAAGTCCTGCATCGCCGTTGAATACCCTGAAAAGAAATCTGCTAATGATAAGTTATTCTTTTTATACCGTGGTCAGAGCAATATCTCAGTATATAATAGTAAGTGATAAATCACATACTTGGGATATGGATGATATTGGGATTAAAGGGCTGATATGGATATCAACCCGGGTATTTATTCAAAAATTTTGAACTTTCAAAAAAAGATATTTTTTTCATTTTTTCAAACATTTTCTCTCATTCAAAAGAGGATTTTAGATATATGTTGCTCTTGACCATGGTATAAGGTCGTTATTCACCTGTCGGGATGATATTGAGAATATCCCTCGGATGGTATCAGTATTTCACTCTGTCACTGCGTTCCCTTGGGAAATATTAATATCATGTGATATTCCTCATAGCAAATCCCTCCTGGTGAATAACTTCTTTGTATATACCGTACTTTCAACTAATTTAACAATGAAACAGAAACACAATGCATGCCAAACATTATCTATTGTTATATTATGGTTATTTCATAGTTTGCACTTGTATTCAGCAACTGTGTTTCTCAAACCCAATATGGGATAAACATTTTTAGGGTTAACACGTCAGACCTAACACGTCGCTTGAGGCAAGATGCATAAACTATATAATTCCACGGCTATAGCTTGAAAAACGCCACTGTTGTGTCTATGCCCCTTCTGTATCTTACCCACGGGAACCTACAAAACAGAAAAATATATAATGACATTATGAAAAGGGGAAGTCCCGTCTATATAAATCCCTAGATTCAAGTCGTGGAAACATCCCCATATTTGCAACAAAACAATGATAAACCAAAGTCGGTAAGTAGTAGTTGTACCATATGCATGAATTGTAGCTTTTGGGAAGGATGATAAAACGCAAAAAAATAATTTAAATACTTGGTGAAGTCTGGCATTCATGATCTGACAGGAAAGGAGGAGGGAAGTTAGTGCAACAGATTTTGGACAGTTATATGTTTGATTTTGGCCATTTCCTGGGGATTTTAACAGGTGCATATGTTAGGCCAATGCATTGCCTCCAGGGAAATCACTTCTAGAGATGATAAAATAATTTCGACTATGAGACAGGGTAGATGCAAACAACCCATCCTCATGTTTTTTCTGAAATGTTTTCATGATTTTTAACCCCTTCCATCCCTGCTTTTTTAATTTTTCTTGCATCAATATGTTGCGTTTTGACACACGGTTAATCCCTTAAAAGTAATAAATGATTCCTTTTAGATAAAGTGGAAAACAATATTTCCCATGTTATTTTCCCATAGGAAAAATCATTGCTTTCAGCTAAGTTTGGTCACCCATAATGGGTATCTTTAAGACCCCTGAAGGAATCACTTATTCCTTTAAACTGTAGGGCTGCCATCGAACTCAAATGTCAGTGTCGACAGTCGAACTCTGCTGTCGAAAATATTGTCGACAATCGAACTTTCCAGGGAGAAAAAATCATCGGGAAAAAAAGAAAAATTATTTCTGTGTTGTTGGTTCGTTTTTTCCAAATCTATCGGGGAAAAGCTTCATATAACTTATATTCATATTGGTATGTAATTGCCTAATATTGTTACTAAATGCCAAGTTAATAGAATATTATAGACGAAAATGGGACAAATACCTGCAATGTTTCGACCGGGATTTATTTCGACTGCTCGGGCGAAATCTCGTACAACGTCTCGCAAGAGAGAAGAGAAGTCATGAAGGGAACTTCCGGGTGAATTTATTTTTTGAAAATGAAATGAATGTGAACAATATTTCCGCAGAATACGCGCACATAACACGTTGAAATGTGTATTGAAATGTATTGGGGCCATTTGGATATTTTCAAGTAAGTATTGATATCGTTTGCTGTCGACATGACGGGAATTTTTGTCGACTTCGTTGTCGAACTTGCATTTTGACTGACAAGTCGACGTTCCGACTAATGATGGCAGCCCTACTTTAAAGTGGTTTACTATGTGTCAAAATGCAACATACTGATGCAAGAAAAATTAATAAAGCAGGGATGGAAGGGGTCGAAAATTAGGAAAACATTTCAGAAAAAAACATGTGGGTGGTTGTTTGCATCCACCCTGTCTCAAAGTCGAAATTATTTTATCATCTCTAGAAGTGATTTCCTGGAGGTAATACATTGGCCTAACATATGCAATTGTTTAAATCCTCAGAAGATGGCCAAAACCCAACATATGACTGTCCAAAATCTCATTTAGGGAAAGCCTTGATTATAATTAAACGTAAAAGCAAAGTTGACCATTGTATCTTGGAGGTTATCATGACAAATGAATGATCATTCGAAGACGACCACTGAATCTAAATCCACTTCACTAAAAAAAACTAAATCACTATTACTTTTACATGTATTATAAATTAATAAATAGATAGCGTGTTTTATATTCGTACAATGATGAATACATTGCAGCAAGGAACTTGAAACAATGTTCACCGTTTATAGTTTAAGTTAAACTAAATAACAGCAACGCCAAAGCGTAGAAAATTAATATTTGATCTTGAAAGTATTAACATCAAACATCAATTGCTAAGATTTGAACATTATGCTCTTGATGCAGAACACAATAGTGTTTTACTTTTAATCGAATATGTTTATAATCATATCATATGACATTAATGATTGCGGCTCATTTCATGATTACCGTATATGAAGATGTTACCTTGACATACACGTATTTTCAGAAATATTTTTTATCGTTGGTAGAAAACGGTAGATCTAACGTACTCTGGAAAATGGCCTACCTTCGCCCCTGTCGTGAATTGTGTTTTAACGTTTACTTTTAATTACCTTTAAATGCTTAGTTTCATCCTTGGTCAGAGGGAATAGCAAATATGACATAAATAAAGGGATTACAAGCTTTATTCCTGTTCTAGTCTACTGTAAAGAAACTTATACCCGGTTTTTGGGTACCCGGTTTTTTCGACCGGGTACCGGGTACCAATTTGGAACCCAGCATGGAGGATTTAGTACCCGGTACCCGGTACCCGGTACCCGGTTTTTTCTACAAACCCGGCCAGAGACTGCTAGAGTAAATATTACTTCTAGATACAAATCATATGTAAAAAGCTCTCTGTGATGATGAAGCCAAGGCTCTAGTAACTTTTTGACTATAAGAGTTTTAATAGGGTCACTGGGGTCGTGAAAATCTCAGATACATAACTCCAGGGGCGCATTAATGCACCCATGCTAATGATTGCAAGCTTGAGAAATCATGTGATTCATTGTGTTGTCATTCACTCAGTTCAGATTTTTGTAAATAAGAGTTTTTTTCAAGTATTTCAATATAATAAAGAATGACAACCATTCCTTATTATGAAAAAATAACTAAATTACCTTGCTACACCCGCAAACGTTCTTGAAGACATCTTATAACAATAATAGGAGTACTTTTTCGTAAAATATTCTTCGGTTTGATTTTTTGCCAAACTCTTCAAAATGAAGGTAATATCTTCTTCCGTGTTTATCAGGTCTTTTATAAGGAAAATTATCGCAATAAAATCCTACTTTTAAGTATGTTCAATCAAAGGATAACTAAAAAGGATTTGCCAAAATGTATACTTTATATATATTCTGTCGAATAAAATCTTATATTACTCTAATTTAATAGAATCAATATTCAAAACTTTATTTGGTAGAACCTGATTCAAATTTGTCAACATGGCATCTCTAGACACGTCAACGCTTTGCTTGTTCGATGTCGATGGAACACTCACTGCATCCAGGAAGGTAGGGACAAAAACATTGCCTGATAAAGATTTATCATATCCCAAGGCACATTTTGGCAATTTTTGAACAAAATATTGCATGTGGTTACGGAGATATTCATTGTTGAATTTGTCTAATTTTGAACTTTTCAAATATTCTGTAGGCCTATTCATTGGCTTATTGCTGATGCAATAGAATGTGCTCCATCAGTATTTAAAAAGTATTGTATATGAACATACAGTATTCACATACATATATCGAATTAAACAATATAAGATACTTTATTGGTATAAGGCTATATGTACAAGGATTAATTAAAATGTTCCTTGTCAAATAAAGACACCCAGCCAGGAGACACACCCACATTGCGTGAAGCGCCAGGATCTCTCGTAATAACGCTGCTATGGTCATGTCAGGACCCTTGCGCACATAATAATACTAGTTACTAACATGGTCATGGATGTGCCAGAAATAATGGTTGCAACAAGGATCAAGTGAATTTTCCTTGTCAAATAAAGACACACCAACATTGTGTGACACACCCACATTGTGTGACACACCCACATTGTATGACATACTATAGGTGTTTGGGCCACATCAGTAGATATCAACTCTTGTATCTGAGCCTAAATGTTTCAGACCTGGACTTTTCAAGTCAGATGCAGGAATCGATACCTACCCACAGCAGGCAGAACAATTAATGCCTGTAAGCCTTTCTTTCTCAAAGAAACAAAATGAGAGAGCTTCGATTTAATGTCTCTCTAAAATAACATCATAAAGTATATTTTAATTCTTCACCAGAAATCGTCTCATGATATGTTACTGTGAAATATCAACCATGAATACAGAAAACTGACAATTATAGAATGATTACGTTTGGGACAACTCTAGTTGATACTGTATTATATTGGCCAATTGAGTATAATGAGTGATCTAAAATATTTCAACTTTGGCATTTTATGTTCGTATATTTAAATGGGATAAAGAAAGGATGAAAAAGCGATCTAAAAATCAACATCCTCAAGTATGATATTCCACTTGCAGCAAGTCCTCCCAGATATGGAGGCATTTCTGGAGAAGCTGAGCCAGCGTGTTGTGGTAGGTCTGGTAGGAGGATCTGATCTCAAGAAAATAGCGGAGCAGATGAAAGGCATGGAAGGTAGGCAGACTGGAAGCTTGTCTCTTACTATTTTATGCAACACAATAAATCTGTATCCATTCCATTGTGATAAAAGCCTAGAACAGTTTCTTATTACATGTACATGTACCAGGTATAGTAAAACTTGTTCAATCTGAATGTCACTTGGAATGAACTAAAGTATTTGGACTGGCAATCGTTCACAGTCTGAGGTCTTTCAACATGGAAGTCTGTGGCAGATAAAAAAAGCATTCACATTGAGAAGTGTTCAAATTAGAGAGGTGTTTAGATGTACAAGTTTTATTGTACTTGTATTGTCACATTGTAAAAAGGATGTTCAGTTTTTTCCAAATGCCAGAAGTTGTGATTTCAAGCAAAATCTGAATTCTAGTTTTGATTTTTTCTAGAAGTACATGAATAATTTTTCAGAATTTATCCCATCTTTAATTTTACCAAGACATTTTGATGTTCATGTTGTCAAATATATGTACTGTGCATAAAATAAAGATGCGATGTATTGTATCAGGAAATCAAAATAATAGCTAAATTGTTTGTTTCAGTTCTCAACAAATTCAAGTATGTTTTCTCAGAGAATGGACTGGTTGCTCATAAAGATGGCAAACTACTAGCAATAGAGGTAAGAACCATCTCATCACTGAGTGGGAGTGACCTTTTTAGTCTTTACTTTTCCTCCAATCCAATCCTATGGGAAAATTCAATGTATGCCTCACCAAAAATCAAATCCAGCATGTTTGTACTAAATTGCAATATGTTCAGCTTTAATCCATTGCTATTGAAAGAATGTCAAATGATTGTTATAGCTGGTATCATTCACCAATGATTTATGTATTTGATCTCTGACTTTGGTTTCCATACATTTTACATTGCTTGATAGGCTTAATTATTGAAAATTGAACTCTATTTAGAAATGATTTAAATCACCAGATCATTATTGATTTTTAGCCCTATTCTTTTTGTTTGATGTATGCCTTACAAAAAGGCCCATGGAGCATTTGAACCAAATTTTTATATCACACACATCAGTTGATAAACAGTGTCCGATACGACTGCAACAAACAGACATCCTAGGTTATTTGATACACAAGATTAAGAAAATCAGTTGAAAAATAAGCAAAAAATTGAGCCACAAGCGCAAAAAGTGTATTTTCACATTTTAGTAATTCTTTATTAAAGCAATGGCACTATTAAAATGTGATATGTCTACCCGTCCATCTATCCATGATCACTCTGTCCCTTTATCAAAAATTACATTTCATCTGAACCAATAGTACCCATATTTTTTATTGCTACAAAATTAAAAATTGAAGATACATGTACCTTTAAAAATAAAATTGAATGGTTGAACTTTCTAAAGTGAGCAGTCTTCTTCATTTGTTTATATATTTGTAGAATATCCATAAAGCAATGGGTGAGGAAAAACTGCAGAGCTTCATCAACTATGCACTGGGCTATATGTCAAAGATAAAACTACCTGCTAAAAGGTAAGTTAGATTGAATAGTTATTTTGAGAACTCATTATTGTATGGGGCTTGTGAGCAGATTTCATATTTGCAAAATGCAAAATGTACATGTTGTTAAATTTTACCAAAAGTAAACGACAATTGTATAAATGCCTTGTACGAATGTTACCTTAGAGACACTTGTCCTTAGAATATAGGATATAATATAACCTATGTGGGAACTTGCAAGCTTTGTTATATTTCAGAGGAACATTCATAGAGTTCCGAAGTGGTCTCATAAATGTGTGTCCAGTAGGCAGAAGCTGTTCTCAAGAAGAAAGGGACCAGTTTGCTGAATATGACAAGGTAAAGTTTAATTTTCCAAAGATATATTAAAAGATCATCAATTTTTCCAATTTATCAAAGAAATTAATATTAAGTGCCCGTCATTAGAGTTTAATGATCCATCTTGAGACTCACTCAAAATCAACTTTTTCCAGTCTGCGTTATGTCTTTATTAACTATATTTCCAGGAACACAAAATTAGGGAAAAATTTGTTGCAGATCTTCGAAACCAATTTCCAGATCATGGTCTAGTCTACTCAATCGGTAAGTTTTTTTATGTTTATACAAAATTAAATTTCTGAAATATTATTAAATACAGTAACTGCTTGTTCAGTCATTTCATACATGTAGATCATACATTCTTATGAAGTCTCTGCATACATACAAGTTCAACGTGTTTCAGCTTTCAGAATTATGTTGTCCAGTATTTGTCAATGATTCTATTTATGTATAATATGCCCAAAATGTACCTCTAAGCTGTTCATTCATTGTAATAAATGAAAATTGAAATCTTTTATTTAAAGGTGGCCAAATTAGCTTTGATGTGTTCCCAGAAGGCTGGGATAAACGATACTGCTTACGTCATGTGGAGAATGATGGCTACAAAACTATACATTTCTTTGGAGATAAAACTGCAAAGGTTTGTTTTTACTCTATGGGATATGAAAGTTATCCTATGAATGATGCACCTGTTAAAAAGTGTTACATGTACATATGAACTGTAATATGTTGAATAAATCAGATGGAATCCAGGGATGATTAATAGACTTGGTGCCTCAATCCTAATTTTTCAACAATTTGACTGATCATGATGCATTTGTGTTCAATTCTTCTTCAAATTGACATCAATCAGAAGTTAAACCCAGTACATCATGAATAATATTTGAAATGCATATATTGTTATCAAAACAAAAATTAACTACAACCACTGTACCTATATCTATTAAAATCCTTAGTTATGTTTATGATTATTATTATTGGAATGACAATTTAAAAAATTATTTAGATAGGCTAATGTTTAATTGGCTATTTTCAAAATATTAAAAAATGATAATGTTTTTCCAGGGTGGAAATGACCATGAGATATTTGAGGACAGTAGAACTATAGGCCACACAGTGACTAGTCCAGCTGATACTATTCAACAACTAGAACAATTATTCTTCCAATAACATTCCAGTCAAGGAATCTCAGGGGGTCTATAGTATAGTAAAGTGTAATATTCTCAGAATGGCTCATAGATCTAGAATTTGAACTTAAAAATTACATTGAATATAATTATTCTCAGTTACGCATAGGATCAAGGGTTGGAGAGACCAAAGTTCAATATAATGTGAATTGGGAATGGCAGAATCCCAGTATACGTGCAGTGAAGCTGTGCTATCTGTATTATATATGAATAATTAGAGTAAATTGGGCTTTCAACTAAATTGTGATATACGGCTGGCCTGTATGACAATATACGCTTACTGAGATTGCAGACTTCGGACTGAAATTATTCATGATTTCTTTAAAAATGTGTTCATTACTTTTACCGTGGACATACCAGATAGGTCATGCTTGTACCAACTTTATTGTTATTACTATTTTACATTTGATTATGCAAAGGAGACTACTGGAACAACATTGAAGATATCTTTGAACACATGTTATGTGAGAGAGTTTGCTCAGCTTTTTTAACTTTGATGGCAGCTAATATGATCTTCGTTAATTGATAGTACCAGTGTAATCGTTTTAATTGTAAAATGAAGGAAACACATATATACTGACTATTAATTGACACTACATGTACCTTAACATTGCAATTGATGAACTTTATAAAGGCGAGTGATACTTATCTATGTTAGTATCGCATCTTTAGAAATTGACATGTTGAAGAATGTGAGGAATATTCCTAGATTTATATGAACAGTAGCTGTCCTTATTAGGTGGTCTTTTGGCCGAGTGTGGTTGAACTATAGAAATGGGAAGTAGAATAAAGATGCGTTTGTAATAACATTATGGTCAGAAATAAAGTATTTTGTATTATACAGGGATCAGAATAGTATTGTTCTTTTGAATCAATGACCAGAGGATCTCAAAACCAAGAGTAAACAATACATCCACTTGAGGAATTTTAACCTCTCTTAAAGTCTAATTGTTTCCAAATCTCTAGCTAGTCTAACCCAAGCCTGGCTCTTTACTTTACATTTAATAGTGGAGGTGATAAAATTCTACAGTATTTGAAATTTTCATCACATCATATTAGCAACAATAGGAGTCTGGTTGCAGTTTACATGGACCCATTGCCATGACAACATAAATCGAATCATAATTGTTGCGTCTATAGAGTATGTGTGCATTGATCTACCTTTATGCAGGGTATAAACCTCTGATGAGGTGAACATGAATCTAAACAGAAACAACAATATACCACTTAGAAAATATATTTCAATATAGTTTTCAATTTGAAATATTTACATCATTTTTGGTACAAGATTGTACAATTATATGGCATGCGTGAAATAAAAGCTAAATGGATTATAGTTCATGGCACTAGAGAAGTGGGCAACTAAACATAAACATGGGTTGGCAAAATACATATATAACTGTTAAACAGGATTCCTTTCGAAGGCTATTATGTTGTATTCATAAATTGCAATTATCAGATAATTATATTATCCATGGGATAGAACACATATACTGTATAAATGGTAATTTTGCTTTTTTAGCACATTGCCTAAATTTTGCCAGGTTAAATGTCAGAAATATCATCTTTATAATGTTATCCAATGGGAACTTTCTTGTCATGAGGAAAATCAAAATTAGGAAAATGATAAAATTTGACCATTCAGCAAATTAACCACACAAATTAAATACCACTTATACAGCATATTCACTAAAAAATCATACAATCGTGTAGGCTAAGCATTTAATTTTACGTGTTTATATGTGGTAAAGATATCATAACATGCATTCTACCAACATTCATTTAGATACCTCTACTCAATTTAATGAATCAATAAGTGGTTACACATAAAGATAAACTAGGTGAGGTGGGTTCGGTACAACAAAATAATATACGGTACTTGAATTCGATGGACCAATCACAAGCTAAACGTTACTATAAGCGATTCATCATGGCTGTTCACAGACCTTTTTATATACAATTTAACCACACTTTGTTAAAACTAAAATGCTTCTACGCTATTTTGAATAGGCTTAAATAAGAAAGTAGTGAAAATACATAAACTCGTACTCTAAAGGGCACAATCACTTAGTGAAATACCATTCAATTATTGAATGTTATAAATATTTTACGAAAAATTTTTGAATTCCACATTATTGTTGATATTGTAAAACTTGATTGCACTAAACATTGAAAAATATGAAAACTTAGTTGTAGGTTTTCAAATAGTAATTGCACCCAAGCATCTGGCAAATAAAAGAAAATACATTGGTCTAACTATAAATTGTATGTATTCAAGGCATACACAGTATTCATGTACGAATTTCATGCATTGTACAATAATTGCAAAGGGTGCAATGCATCTGAATATACATTCTATGGACCAACATGAAATCACATTGCCCTTACATGTAAATGCAATGCCCTCATACACAAAACAAGATTCCTTTACATGTGAATGCATCTGCAATGCCTTCATATGAAAGCACAGTGTCCTTAGATGTTAAATCAATGTCTTCACATAAAATCTTACAATCTTAAGTGTAAATGCACTGCCCTAACATGAAACTGTAATGCCCTTACATGTAAATGCAATGCCCTCACATGGAACTGCACTTGTAAATCCAATGGCCCTACATGTAAATGCAATGCCCTCATGTGTAGACAAAATGAAATACTCTTACATGTAAATGCAACGCCCTAAAATGTTAATCCAATGCTCTTACAGGTAAAAATATCTATTCAATCAGGCACAAACAATGAGCTTCGATTGTCCGTAAAATTTTAAAAAAACTGTTTTTTGTGCTCTCTATTAGATATAATTTGACAGCAGTGTACAGATTCATAACACGTTTTATTACCAGAATAACAAGGCAGTCTCTAATTTCAATTAGAATCTAATATAATATGACACTCTTCAAGAAACTATATACTTTCTCTACTCTATGTAAATATTGCAGGACTCATCAATTAGCATTTTACAATGCATCTAAACAATCAATTTACAATTAAATGTGAATTCAATCATTTCAAATACATGATATAGGATCTCCAGTCTAATTGCATTGGTGCAGTCTAATTGCATTGATGCTGTCTAATTGCATTGATGCAGTCTAATTGCATTGATGCAAGACTGAAGCCACTCTTATGACCAGATACATGTATTAAGAATTAGCGATGATTGTGATCTGATCATAACACATTGCATCATAAAATCTGAAATTTTGTTTCGGATTATCATTTCCTCATATAGAGATAATCTTGCTCTATATTACATATTCTACTGTGATAGTATTCAGTTACATTCATTAACAGCTAAATCAAACTCATTCTAACACCCCTATGTCATTTACATTCTATACATTTTGTACAGACATAATTGAGAGAGAAATCTCTGATTAAATACACAACTTGTCTTTTATGTACAATGCGCCTTAGATCGTTTGAGTGTATGATTCAGACATAATGTATGGATGTACCACAGATTTAAGGCCACATGAAACCAAATTAATCCAAATATTATCAGTACAGTAAAACCAATGTATGTGAAAATCTCTAAAGGGATCATCTCAATATGAGATCATATTTTACAGTTATAATTCTGGATGACCCACTGAATCCCATATTATCAGAGCCTTCTAATGAGAAAGCCTCTTAATATGAGGAGTTAAAGCTATTTCAAAATGGTTTTACTGTACATTTTTTAATGAAATCAAAACAGATGTTTAAAGTCTCACTGTCATAACCATGAAGCTATTCTTCTATGAAAAGTTATACTAGCCAACACTGATAACAATTGGGTCTTAAGTTTTATTATTGTAAACGTTCAGTATTCACCTGGTCAATGCAAAAGGGCATGAATAATCTGAATAGTTTCATGGAGATGACTGTTTTTATATAGAACCAGCTAGTTAGGTAATGAATCAAAGGAGGAATTTCCCATATGGCCTTTTGTGAATAATTCCTGAGCTAAGTCCTAGGGCTGGCATGACCTGAGGGTGGGGTACCATGGGTAGGAGAGGGTGTGTCCCATCTCTCGTGTGTTTCATGGGGGTTAGGGTTTGAAATAATGACGTGAACTGCAGAGAACCTCTCATTCTTGGGAGGAATAGGACATCTCTTGTAGCAAACCTCATCACCGGCCTTGGGCACATAATCGCCATCTATACTGTAATAAGAACACAAGATTTTGATTTAACATTTTAGATTGATTCAGATTTTTAAAAGAATAAATATGAAGTTTTCTGTTTTGCAGGAATATAAGAATTTATGGAAAACTATGATAAAATGGTTGGTTTAATGGTTAATAATGTTTTTTCTGCGAGATGGTGGATTTCATCATGAAAAATTAAGTACTATTGCATATAGCAAATGGTTCATTCAAAATAATGTGCACAAATGTAAAACAGTGAAAACCCTGTGAAACAAAAGATTAACGTGTGTAGCAATGGGTCACATTGAAGCATGGGGTTATTCTGTGAAACAATTGGTACATTTAGTACATTCTTGTGCACTCATAGTCATACAAGTACACACCACGGCCTTTTTTACGAGTTGTGGACCACTCATTTAAACACCCTGAAGTGCTTTACGCAAACAAGTAAATTAAGTTTTGCCTGAACAGGGGATCGAATCTGGGTACTATTGCGTAAGAGGTACACACACTACCCAGTGTTTTCAGTAGGTTTGTCCAAGATTGCGTTCCTGGGATGTAATGATTTTCAAAAAATGTGTCTCCCCTCAAAAAACTGCGTCCCTTGAAAAAATGTTCCCGGGAATTCAAAGTCACGCTTTTACACTGGAAGAAATAAAATTGATGAAATTTTGTATCGCTTTTGCTATTTATCGGTCTAAATTAGTGTTCTAGCGAGTCTAGTATGTCAAAGAATGATACAGATACCATCACTTGTGAGGTATAACTTATATTCAACCATTAGATACACATTTTCTTTGCGTATTTCGAAGCAATTAGCTACTGATTTTGCTTTAGCTACGGGCAATCTGCGCGGATTCAATTTTTTGGTTAAGTTTCTTGCGCATTCTTAAATAATGATCTGGTGATCGCACTTGACCAATATAAAATGGTTTAAATCGGGTCTTCAGCTACCGGCCAATCGTAGGACTCGTACTGGTTACTGCTCGAGTATTGGATAACTATTTGTCCTATCACATGCCTCGTACTATTTCGATCAGAAATCAACTTCCGGAAAGGAAACTTCAAAAGAAAATTTTATTTCTTTTAGAAATAGAATTTCCTTCAATTATTTAGTGGATTCTGACGAAATAAATAGACTGAAGGTAAGATCTTTATCAAATCTTTCATCCAAAGTTGATTTTGTGCATACTGCCTTCACTGCGTCCAAAAAACGCAGTTCATTTTTATTTCCGGGTCCAAGGGATATATTTTGCGTGTATGTAATGTAAGGACGGCATTATTGAAAACATTGCTACCGTTGAGCTATACAGGTGTATTCACATACATGGGGATTCTTTCTGACAAAATAGCAACCGATAACTTACTCTGATATATGGCAAAACATGAGTGGACCTCCGCCATCGGGGATGATGAAACCATGTCCCTTATGACGACAAAACTCCTTCATGATTCCCTTGTGCAATGGTCCAGCAGCTGCCCTCTCTGACCTACAACAGCATTTGATTTTGTTATACTAAAGCTAAATGCTTTGCTTGGTACATGGACATTATACTGAGCCATACACCAAAAATCCATATTCCTTGAATTAAATCTTATTTGTTGATGATTGTTGGTCTCTTCTGCTTTACTCAAACAGTACCAACTCTTTAAACTGAATGAATTAGTTGATTTTGCTAATTGTTACTTTACCTGAAATAAGATCACCAGTGCGCATTTTATTTTTAAAGAGATGTTCCAGGAGTTTGTTCAGTTAATTTTTTCCTTCTGTGAGGTATTTTTAAATTGCAGATTATTAACTAAATATGACACTTTCTACACTTTCTGTTCAGTTTTAGAATTTTTGAAATGTTCAATTTGAAAGTAAAAAATATGACCTCTCGAAAATAAGTTGGCACATTGAATACATGTATCTATTACAGTTTTTAGATGAATTCACCAAATTATTTTTTGTGCATTGATGAAAGTGTTCTATTGGAAATTGTTTTATTGGCATCTTATTTGCACATTCAAATAAATAAAGTGATTTCATAAGAAAGGGTCCATTAGCCTAATTGTTTTACATTCTGACATTTCTGACAACCATATAGCATATAAAACAGAAATATCAAATTGTAATGGAACATTGTTGATAATAAGCTGAATTCCAGGATAACTGAATTAGATTTTTTCTTCTGTATATTAGGCCATGAGAAGTAGATTCTTTGTTTTGCGTCCCCTTGCTTGCACGATTTTGAGTTAATCAGAAAAAAAACACATCCAAATTGCAATCACAAGGGTCTGAATGTACCATCGCATTTCGTTCAATCAGAATCAGACCAAATGGCCGATAATTTGATGTGTGTCAAAATTGACGGTGTTATTGATTACTTTGGCATGGATTGTGTACTTTCTTATTTTTTACCCTTGAATAATAACTATGTTTAATAAATATATAGTATAAAATGTATAGATAGGTGTTTGTAATCACTCCAAATTGGTATGTCATCCCTTTTTATGCCTATAAAATGTATACATTTCTTAGCAAACAAGTTTGTGTTTTTTCTTGAGTTTGTGTTTGTTTTCCTTGTACCCTTGCATGATTAGGATTTTGACAGGACGCAAAACAAAGAATCTACTTCTTATGGCCTTATCTGGATGAGCTTCATATATCAGATTTCAATTGATCTAGATTCATCTGGTTATCTTGACCACTCTGCTGATCAAAATTGATTAAAAATGTTGCAATTAAAATATACAATACTTCATATTGGGTGAAAACTGATAAACCCATGTTGAAATTGTCCAGTTTTTTCTCCGCTTTTCTTTTTTATTGCTTTTCAACTTGGAGACTATATATAATCACATGACTTACGCAGAATATGTCCTGCTCCTACGACACGGTACAGGGCTAGGGATGAGAAACTTGTTTCTGGGAGGTGTGGTGCCATAGGGTGGCTCACCGTTAGCACCCATGGCCTTCCCTGGTATGGACTGGGGACTGCTCATTCTCTACTGGAAATACAGAATGAAAAGGAACATGAAATCCCATTTTTTTGTTCTATTGAAAATGACATTTGTCACAGAATCTGATTTTTGCCTTTACTTTGGCTATGTACAACAGAACTACAGTAAAACCTGTCTTAGTGAACATCTCTCTCTCTCTAGTGAACACCTCTAATCAGTACTTAATCCATTGAGCTCTATATACCACTGCCCCCAGGATTCCGTGTTTGCAGAGCGCGGACGGAATTTGCCTCTGCCCGCGGAATTGCAGAATCAACTATTTTGGTCAATTTCCGCGGAATTTTCCGCAGAATCCATATATTTTCCAAAAGTTTAAAAAGTCAGTCTTACCTGTAACAATTTGACACGTTTTCAGTCAAATCCCTTGCAGAAATAACCCAAATTATGCGAAGTGAAAATTCTAAACGCCATCGTTTGATTTCTGCCGTTAGATGGCAGCATGTATGTAGTGACTGACTACCTGATGACTATCACGATATTTTCCCGTTTACTGGTTCGAAAACCATTAATATCCGCGGAATTTCTGCAGAATTAGCCCTTTCTTCTTGCAGAATTCACTAATTTCACTTGCAGAATTGAGCATTTTAACTTGCAGAAAAACTGGGGGGAGTGATATACAATTGCCTCTCTGTAGTGAACACCTACCTAGAAAGAACACATTTTTGTGGCTCTATGGGTGTTCACTGTACACAGGTTTTACAGTATAATGAAGAGCATGGTTCAAATCACGGTTAATTTATCATTCTGGGAGTGTTATTATTCTGCTAACTTTTGACATTTACTAATATACTTAAGTTCCCTAGTTATGCTGCCTTATAATAAGTCAGAGTATTGTTTTCCATAGTTTTAGCATATAAACAAATCACATCCCAGATGTATTTATATCCTTTGAGATTACACTGTATACAGTTGTACATGATATAACACGCTTCTTGGTATAGCGAGGTTACCCTAGTCTCGTACAATACTAAATGAGCATCCCTTAAATACCAGCTTTCAAATTTCAACACTCACCCTTAATGTTGCATGAGAACAATTAATAACATTGTTTAAAATATCTGAACATATATCTAAACTTGAAAATTGAAAGGAATAAATATGCTATCACGAGCAGTCCCTCTCCTCCCTTTATGGAGCTGTCACATTAGGCTGTGCGGGCTCGTGTGAATACTTTGGACTAGCTTGATGGGGTAGACACATGGTGTGAAAAAGCAAATAGCTTTATAGAAAGATATTCCCCTCACTCTTCATAAAAATGAATGCCCAAAATTATTCACTCGTTGATGAATAGTGAGCCCACGCAGCCTTATCTGACAGCTACTTAGTATGGGCCTTCTTTAAATAATCATCTTCTTGATCTGAGATTCTCCCTTATTGAGGTTAATACTACACGTATGTACATCTTGGTTAGGTATGCCTTCCCATCGTGGTAATCCACGCCCTCTCCATCTCTATCCTTCTGGATCATCTGCGATGCAACAGAGAGAGATGCTATGAGTATCAGAATGATGCCTTCCCAATCTCTCATTCTATGCCATGGAGAGAGAGAGAGATGCTATGAGTATTAGAATTAATACCGTACTCAGTGTCATGGTAATTTAGTGGCCTCTCTAAGACCTTGATTGAAGATCTATTATAATTGGATATTTCGAGCCACTCTCTAACTCCTTTATTTTGCTACTCTCTGCATTGCACAGTGCTTCTTCTATTGATATAAATTCAATTACAATTCTCAACTGAGACAATCTGTAACTGTTTACAAGAATATTACCTTCTGGGACTAATCCTACTGCAGAATACTAATGCCAGTCAGACTACAATAAATACATGGATACTTCTGTATCGTTAAATAAAGTCTAACCATTGTTTATAACTTCCTAAATGTGATAAAATATGGTATATGTTTATTACCACATAATTAAAAGCTATACACCTGCTATTAGTGATTATGATGTCAGCTTTTAACATACCTGAACTGATGAACAAATCCTTTATAAGCTACACCTTTCTCTTTGGAAAATCCATTTGCCACAATACTCCTTGTCAAATCCATTCTCTTTTCCAAACATATTAACAGTTTTCTATGGTTAAATTCAGTAAAATTAGCACTAAAATGGCATCCATTTTGAAACTGGCAGAACTTATACTCATTAAGGGTATATGCGTTTAAAATATTGAGCCAACAGTACTTGAGTTGCTGGACTTATGGAGATGGAGGTGTTCTCTATATTGTCCCCAGAATTTGTTCGATGGGGTACTAACAGGATACACACTTAATCACCATAATACGTTTAAGACCCAGAATGAACGTAAAACAAATTTTTTAAAGCAGATTGGCAGAAAGTGTCTTTAGAAAGAACACAGCCACAATAAACACCTCACACTAGGAATACTTTTATCCAGTACCATTTACTACACAGAGATAAAATATACATAAACATTTTTATCCCATACTTGGACGTGTTACAGGTACATAAAGCCGGTTTGTAAAAACTTATATTTTTATCGTCGGGCAGATATAGAGATTATCCTATATGAGGTTCAGGATATTGGGATTATCCCGAGGCAAATATAATATATCTGCCCGAGGGCCGCAGGTCCCGAGTGAAAATATATTATATTGGCCAAGGGACAATCCCAATATCCTGAACCGACTATAGGATAATATGTTTATCCCATACCAATCTTGGTCATTTGGTTCACATTGTTCAATCGTTGAAATATTTTAGAATATTCATGTCCAGTTTTGTTTTCTTGGCCGTGGGGGGATTTTCCTGTTCTGTCAAATATTCCCATATTTATTTTCTCGAATTTTTGATCGATTAAGTGGATGCTCCTTCCCTTTTTTAAATCATCAAACAGATCCCGATTGTCTGTGTTTTCTCCATTGTCGGATATAGTCAACGTTACAAATTATGAACAAATATGCGAGCGGCGATTATGACGTAGCGGGACGTAAAGCTATATCTGCCTGCTGATGAAAATACCTATGGCCCTCGGGCAGATATATTATATTGGCCTCTGGACAATCCAAATATCCTGAACCTCATATAGGATAATCTATATGTATTCCATACCTGATGAGGTTTCAGGGACATATTAACTGGGAATGTATTCGTTATCCTGGCAAATATATCTCATATGTTCCACTCCAACAAGGATCGGGCCCTCAGGAAACTATATTGTATATCCCTCGGGATATTCCCTGGATCCAAAACCTCCCAGTGCATAACCCCTTTATATATACATATGTATGTTAGAGATAAATAGTTAAGATGAAAGTTATAATGCCTGCTATTATTCAATAATCAAGGTGAAGTTGCTCTTGGGCAAGTATTAACCAGGTAAATCAAGTATGTATTGAATCAATAGGATATCACTTCTAAGACATGTTACACTTATTAAAGAAGATACTAAGATATTGAGACAATATTATTCAACCTTACTTTACATCTGAACAAAATCACCATGGCTCTCGCTAGGCTCCCTCCACAATCTATTGGCAAATATTGATTGTTCCCACAGTCTAAACTTGTATAAATGCACAAAAATACAAGCATGTAAAAATGATAAATAAAATGTAAAATAAATATGACTTATCACAACTGAACAGTTATGCTGAAGATGTTTCCACCACACCCTAAATATTTCCTGATGAGAGCCCTGGCCCCTGATCATCTAATCTTGCCATCATGGTAACTTAAGCCATATGCTTTTCTATCTGTCCTCATGTACAACATCTATGATGCAACAGAGAGATGCTATGAGTATCAGAATATGATCTAACAGAGCCCAACAAAATAGCTATATTGAGTGTCAATGATGCTACAAACATAAACTAAGACAATTAAATTGATGTTTTCCCAATAAATGAACCAAATCAGACACAAGCCCTTGGGCTATATGAACAATACCAGATTTCAGAATATACAATAACAATAAGAGACATGAATATTGCATTAAAAATATGAACATACTTACCTAAAGAACTTAATCAAACAACAGCTCATAAGCATTATGGTATCACTGATGAGTTTCCTGAAGGTGTACTTTAATTGCTAATTCTGGTTTAAGGAGGTCTTTCCATAATTTAACTGACTCGGGGAGATGATCAATATCCATTTTGCCATATCAAGCATGATTATTAGTCTGGACAAATGCAACAGTATTCTATTTGGTATTGATGAGAATAATAAGCCACTATTGATGATATGAAATTACAAATTAATATGGCAGGTTTTACTTTCACACATATTGAAAATTGGATCACTAGTTGATATTTTCAATTCTTAATCTAAAAATTGTATCACCTGGTAAATAAATGATTTAAAGGGTGACGATTAGCATCCCGTATAAAAACAATATGGCGGCTCCAGGCGAATCAACTGGATCAGTCCATTTTTAAGAAATAAGGGGAGTTCTGTAAAATCAAGTTTATTGAAATTGTCTTTGAGATAAAGTAAACCGTTTATAATGATTTTGAAAACGTTATCCAAAGAGTGATTGCGTTCAAAGAATACATGTACAACAGCCAATATAAATCCTTGTATTGGAAACCGGTTTGTCTTGCTTTGTTTCATTTGTAGGATATTTCATATGCCAAGCTGTGTGCTATTACGTTATGGGGAAATTTAGATGCCAATTTTTCCTTATTATACACAAATAGAAGATCCTGAAACTTCACCCATAAATGTGGAATTGATTTGTCAAAATAAAAATCACCCTTTTATAAATGTGTGACGATCTATAATATACTTATGCTATATAACAGTTAGAGGTGTTGACACAACGACCTGGAACCTGTGAACCCTTGAGTATTATTCCGGGATCGGGCCTTTTATACTAAACGGTGAGCAACACCAGAAACGAGCGTTCGATTTGCTAAACGATATGCGTCACCCTTTAAATAACTTTAATCAATATTAATTTCATTTTGAGACTCTCAAGTAAAAGCTTCATCTAAAGGGTAGAACTCTAATGAAAGAAAG